TCTATCTATCTATCTATCTATCTATCTATCTATCTATCTATCTATCTCCATCTATCCATCTATCATCCATCAGTGTCAGTGAAGTGTTTGGTTTGAAATGTCTCAAAAAGAAAAAAAGCCGCAATGATTTGAGCTTTCCTTGCTTCACTTTTAGTAAAGTTGTAATGAAGTTGTGATGACCCAGAGTGTAACACAAACGTAACAAAATCCATAAATGTCCTTTAATGCCTCCAACTTGGCCCAGCTGTTCAATAATTCTCAGTTGGAGATAAAACATACTCAAAAATAGTCTTCAAAAGAAAGCAATACAGTCTGAATTTAATGAGCAGATAGAGGCAAAAATAAAAACCAAACAAACTGCAATGATGAAATTTCCACAACGGAATAGGAGAAGTATTTAGCAAATTCAAGGAGATAACAAGGCACAATCTGTTGGAAGGATGCCAACCAAAATCAGACCAAAATAAAATACGCTTTTTCTCCAGCGTTTGCCAGAACGCAGATCCAAACTTTTATGCAGTTCTCACACCTGCAGCCCATGAAGAGGATCAAGGCCCTCTCCTCTTGAGTAGACCACGTGTCTTTCCCTTATCGTCTCCTCCCTGCATGCCTTAGGATGGATAGGTGATGGGCCTGGGTCTCCTTTAACTACTCAGCCGGCCTCTGCCCTTCCCCAGCCTCCTCCACAACTTCCAGAGCTACACTTCCACTCCCTGTTGGCTGTTCCTCCTCTCCCTCAGAGTCAGTCTCCACCAGGGGCAAGTCAAACAAAAAGCAAATAAAAGGATATCATAAAGCTGTTTAAAGACTTAATAAAATAGAAATGAGTCTGCTGCACCACAGATATCCAATTAATATTAAATGCCGGATAAGGAGATTGTGATACAGGTTTTGGGTTTTTATAAAAATTTCACATGAATATTCAGACATATTTCCCGCTGTAAGATCTCTGCAAAGATTTGTTTAGTGTATAAATCCACTAAGGATAGTCTGGGAGTTCATTTTAGAGCTACATTTGGTACCTGAAGGAGATAAAGGATGTGCCTATGTATACACATTTCAGAAGTAATTTGAAAAGATAAAAAAAATGAAGAACTTTAAGAAGTAAAGGAAAATACATAATACATTAGTAACAAAATATTTTAGGTAGTATATTAAAGGTCACTGAAGTCTAGTTATTAACTTAAGAAATCCACAAGCAGTTGGGCTAATTTTTGTTTTTATTATCCAGAAGGTAAGAACTGAGAATAAAATCAACAGGCCCCCAGCTTTCTTCTTCTATGTCAAAGAACCCATATAAACATTAAATACTGAATTGTAAGTCCAGATTTCTCTTGAGTTTGGACCTTTAAAAAATGATTGATACTTTGGAGATAATTGATTAATCCAACAATGAACAATTTTACTATTTCCCCAAGATAAGTCAGTTAAGATTCATCTTTATTACAAAAATGTAATAAGCAATAACTTAATACAACAATTGGAAATCTATCATCTATCTACTATCCATCAATCCATCTCATATATGAAGATTCTGATTTCACAGCAGTGATTGGGTGATGTACAGAAATTAAAACTATCATAACAATATATAACCATCATGCTCAGTTAAACGGTAACCCTCAAAACAAAACTCCTATCTCCAACAGAGCTTACCAACTGCCTGGGTTCAAATGTCTGAAGATAGAGATTGTACCTGCTCTTGAACTTCTCTTTTGAAGGCTAAATAAATTCAGTACTTTTAACCATTCCTCACATGACTTTAACCATTCCTCACATGACTTGTCCCTTCATGTAGCCTGCTCTCAATTTGTTCTGCATTGCTAACAACCTGTTAAAAGTGTGGTGTCAAGAATTGGACACAGTATTTCAAATATGGCCAGACCAAGTCAAAGTAGAGTAGGAAAGTTATGGTGAAATTTAACAGGGGCATTACTGTGTCCCTGTTAAAACATCTTAAAGTGGCATTTGCCTTACCAGTGGCTGCCTCACACTATTGCCACACTATTGAATTATCATACTACAAGTTAATCTAGTCCAGAATATCACATGCTTGTCTGGGCTGTAGAAAAACAAATCATAGTCCAGTCAAATCAGCCAAACCAAAAGCAATCATTGTTATTATATGCTAACATTGATATTCTGATTCTTCTTGAAAGATTCAACTACATCTTCCATAGGAAAAAAAGAAGCAGCATTGTGTTTTTCAACAGAACTTCAAAGGCATTCATTCTCTCTTCTTTAAAGCAATGTTGATGGGTTTTCCACAGTCCCAGTTTCTGATTTTAATGGAATGCACTCCTGTTCTAATAAGGTAACTTATTAAGTGCAAGAAAAAATATTTGACTGTTCCCTGTCAACACTGTTATTGTAAGTTATTCACACTGATGAACTTGGGCATTTTCTACTTAGCTCATTCCATCTGGCAAATTGGTGTGCCAATCTCACTTAATTTTATCAATTAATATCTAGTTGGTTCTACAGCTATAGAGACAGAGTTGTAAGTCCCCCATCTGATCATATTTCAGCTGAATGATGGATGTAATTGTGCTGATGGGGCTTTAATTGGAAATTAAATGGTTCATCTAGTGAACACCTGAATGTTACAGTTTAAAGAGTTGCAATTAAATATGGGCTTCAAATTTGTCCATGTGTATATTAAAGCAGTGCTCTGTTGCAGCAAACATAATCAAATTAAATATAATTATATTTTTGATTATTATAACAATAGACCTATGTGGTGTATTTTTCTCATTTATAACCAAAAGATTCTTTGGCTCAGTAAGATTGCATAAGTTTACACAGATTTGCTTAAAGGAGCGATCTGAATTGTGGAGATGACCTAATCTAATTTGCTGAATCAAATCAAGTGAATCAAAGGAGTTTTTCCACACTACTGGGTTTTCTTTTCTGCTATCTATGTTTGGAAGAAAGAAAGTGTCATGAAAACATGTATTCTGTCATGCTGCTAAAAGTCTGTAGAGATACTCAGTCATCCAGGTCATGGTTGTCCCAAAGGTGCTTTTTCAGGAGGCAATGGGACTTTCTTGGTTTTTTTTTCTTTTGAAGACATTTTGCTTCTCATCCAGGATGAGAAACGAAATGTCTTCAAAAGGAAAAACAAGAATGTCCTGTTGCCTCCAAAAAAAGTATCTTTGAGACTTCCATACTGCTAGTTTTCCTCAATTGCTCATCACCCAGCAAACATTTGGAACAATTGAGTTCCACCAAAAGAGGTTCTCTGCACCACTGACTATTCTCAAGTGGGTAAATGGTCTGTGGAGGATATCTTGTAACCCATCGTAGAAGTTATCAACTGAAAGATTCCTATATGAAGGCTGTAAACATTTTGACTGGGCCGCCTTCAGCATGTACCATTGGACTTCTGGAGCCACCCATTCTGGAAAATCTTTGGGATGCAATTTTCTTCAGTTTCCAGAAAATTCAAGTCTTACCAGAACTTTTCAACCTTGGAAACTCTGTGGCTAACTCTTCAGGAGAAAGCTCTTTCAGACTTCTCCTGTAGCATTAGCTGAAGAAGACTGTTCTCAGCCTCCTCCTTTAACATGTGGAGGAAAAATGAGAGTAGCTCTAAAACAAAAAGCAGTGAAGCAATATAAGTACTTACCTGGACTTTAGTAGTACGATGCCACAGATATAGTGAAACAACAGGATGCTTCTCTTGGGTCTTATGTAACTGACAAGGTCATTACTGTATGAAGGATTTTTGAGGCGTGTTTCATTTGTCATTTTGTTGAAAGGAAACACTGCATGGAAGTTTTGCACAGCCTAATATTCATTGTATTGAACTACTTATATTAACAAGTTTGCAAGTCAAAATAAATCCATGTCTTCACAGCATTATATTTTACAAATATACAGTAATATTCAGAGAAAAGAAAAAGACAAAATGGTTGGTGAGGAATATTTTTAGTAGATCATGATATGAAACCTTCTGAAGCCTTAAGTGTCAGCCTTTTAATGATAAGCACTCTTATCTTTCCTTCTGATTAATTTTCCTTAGGTCCAATACTCAGATGTTATGATTAAGATTAGATTTGCAGGCATTCAACTCTGCTTTTAACTTACTGCCATGGTTTACTGTTACTCCTTCATCTGTAATAGGTTTTCCACATCCTTGCACTGTACAAGCCCTTGCATAGAATTTATACTTTGTGCTGAGGCTTAGATTAGACAATCTGAAGCTTAATGATGATGAATTGGTAATACTGATTTCATGCAAAGGACCAATGTTATCAGTCTCATTAACTGAAAAATAAAAGAAGGAGCAGACTATTTAGTCAAACATCAACATTAGAAATCAGTTCACTTGTTAAAATGTATCTCATATGCCAACTTTATATTTCACCAATGTACAACATAAAACACTTTAACTGCACTAAAATACCAAATGAAACTTTTGCTGTAAACAGAACATGAACCTAAGTAAAATTTACATGTAAAATGTTATTAAAAATCATGACACAGTTTCTGGGAACATTTATTTATTGAATTTATTTACTGATCATCTCATAGCAAATAATTCTGGAAACTTGCATATTGAACCTGGAATATCTGCCAAAAATAATAGGCAATCAGAATCCAAGGTCATGATATATTTATCTCTCCACAGTTTGCTTATATTTTAATTTATATTTAATAAACTTCCACCAGCAAATACAAAAGGAAAATATATCAAATATGTGTTATCCTTGATTTGCATATCTATGCATTTTTCCAGTCATGGAGTTGCAACTATATTCCATTAAAAAAAAATCAGATTAATTTGATCTGTCAGTCAATGTTCTATCATTAAGAGTGAGATCATGTAATTTTGGGAACTCTTGGAAGGTTACCACAACAGAGGCTTTATAATATGGTTTATACTAAGCATAATTAATACACTTAACACTATATTCTATCATTCTTCCCTCAAATCACACTGTCAACCATCTGCTTGCATCTTCCTTTGTTAGTAGTCAAACTGTGCACTTGAAAGAAAAAAAGAAATTATTTGTGACTAATAAAATTAACCCTATAAAGAGGGTACAGGGTTGCAGTAAGATCATTTTAATGCAATATTTTAAAAAGGCAAAACATACCTAGCTCTATGAGGTTAAAACATATATTTTGAAGTCATGACTTCAAACAGTCAGCCTGCTAATCCTTCAAGACAATAAAGATTTATGGCAGGAATGTTAGGGCAGCTTAATGTTTCTGCACAATTAGAATTGAATCATGGTTTATGTATTTTTTTGTATTTTTTTAAAAGAAACAATAGCTAGGAAAGGGTTTTGCTATTGAAAAAATAAAGGACAAAATCCTTTCCATCATATTTTGACATCAGCTAAGAATGATCTCCCTTAAGAAAATGTTTTTTAAATCCTAAACCCAAAGTAAAATATTTATTTACTTACTCATTTGGTATTGCAATGTGTATCCAGTAATGAATCCATTAGGTTTCTTTGGTGGCCCCCATGACAATGTTACTGAGTCTTTTTCAAAATTTAGTATTTTTAGAAAATGTGGTTTTTCTGGGACTGTAAAATACATATGTAAAAAAATGATAATGAATTCACTTTTATTCATTTGTTCTTACAAAATTTATCCAGCTGAGCAATATGGGAAGTCTATTTAGATATAGAATAAAATAAGAATATAAAAACAAGGTAAGTAAATATTAGTCACTCATTTCATCTATTACCAAAAATACAGAAAACTTTTCAAAATATACCTTATTGGTTAAATTCTGTAAACTAATTCTCTTAAATGAACATGACTTTTTTCAGGTTTCCAAAACTCAATTGGAGTAGCTTGGAACATTTTAATAGTCTACTCTTTGTTTGTTTGAGAGTTATGGTAGCTAAGTATTCAGCTTTGGAAAGATTAATATTATTTTATCAGAGGATTTCATTAACCATTTTTGTAGAATGTATGTAGTTTTGGGCAATTCTAAGAAATGAAGAAAACATGAAAACTTTGTAGTTTTCTCTTTCCCCAATTCTCCCATTTGAAATTAACTTAGTCATTCTTTCTAAATCCTGCCATTCATCAGCATGGGCTTAAGCGGTCTTGAGAAGGAATGTCTTGTATTAAAGGTATTAAGTAAACTGCAAGAACGTAGGGCATATGCTTTCAGTAGTACTTCCCTGCTTCTAACAGTGAATACTTGACTTCAGTGACAGTTTTTGTAACTCATTGGATATCTTATCTAATTTCTAATTGATATGAACTCTTTAGGTTCTTAAAAAATTCCAAGGCAGAATAATAACCAATACACTTTTATCAAGTACAACAGCAATAGTAACAGCACTTAGACTTGTATACCTCTTCACAGTGCTTTTACAGCCCTTTCTAAGTGGTTTACAAAGTCAGCATATTGCCCCCCATCTGGGTCCTCATTTTACTGACCTCAGAAGGATGCAAGGCTGAATCAACCTTGAGCCTGATGAGATTTGAACTGCCAAATTGCAGGCAGCCAACAGTCAGCAGAAGTAGCCTGCAGTACTGCACTCTAACCACTGCACCACCGTGGCTCATAATAACAACTCTAGTATGTATAATAAATAACTGCAGTGGCCAACAGTAAAAGCTCCTTTTTTAATAATCTGATATTAATTTGATATCTCCAGCTGTGAAAATGCCCAGATAAGGGAACAATGAACACACAACCAAGTCAGCTGCAAAGGGAAAAATACAGTTACAAAAGTTTGCTATTCTTTCTTTTCTACTCCCCTCCCTCCTTCCATTCTCCAACTTTACCTCCCTCTGGAGTTTGGAATTCATATGTAATGCTTTCAGGTCCGTTTCCTTTGGAATTAAAAGCCAAGACAGTTAAGTGGTAGATGCTAAAAGGCTCTAAACCAGGAATCATTCCATCATTTCGGTCTGCTTTAAATGTCAAGGAGTGTTTCTCTGGGTGATGGTTTTTTTCATCCAGACGGTTTCGGATTTTCCACCAGTTGACCTGCAGAAGAGATATTTGCTTGAGGTTTTGAAGCAGAGACCATATGTGACTCTTTGACAGCATTCACATCATTAAATAACCAACACGCATGCACAGAGAGAGAGAGACACGCAAACACACACATCCATAACCTAGTTAAAGGTTACAATTAGAAAAACAGGCTTGCATTTTGTAGAAAGGCTTCATCTAGTTCTTTTGCTGAGCTGGTTAAACTAATGTTTAACAAGCATTCTATAAAAGTGTATTAATAATTCAAGGGTCAAGGTGAACTGTGGGAAAGCAGGGAGAACAATATCTACCTTATATCCTCTAAGATGTCCACGAACCCGATCTTTTGGAATTGTGGACCAGATGACTTTTGCCAGACTGCTATTGATGACTTGCACAATTACGTTTGAAGGAGCAGCTTCTGGAACTAAACGCAGAGGAAGAAAACATCTATATGATATCCTATATTCAGCAGACAGTAGTAGGTTTTTACTTTGTGCTTATATGAACTATAAATTCAGTATAACATTCAACCACCCTCAATCTCAGAGGATCTCTTTTGGAAGTGAATGAGAGTTAATGAACTAGAATTTCAAACAGTACTCCAGGCAATTCTGAGATGACAGATATGGCATCTTCCTCACACTTCATTAGCACATTAATAAATGGAGCAGGGACTCCTCTGGGTTTAGATTTAGGCTTGTGACAGCCAATTGATAACCTGGGTTTAAAATGATGGGCAGTATAATGAAAAGCCACACATATAATCATATGTCAGTAATAGTAGTGTAATATATCTGATAGTATCTCATCTAAGCCTTAATCTATGGCCGTATATTTGAGCTTGGTCAGTGGTGGGATTCAAATTTTTTTACTACTGGTTCTGTGGGCGTGGCTTGGTGGGCATGACAGGGGAAAGATACTGTAAAATCTCCAGTCAGAGGTGGGATTTGTCGGTTCTCCAAACTACTCAAAATTCCCACTACTGGTTCTCCAGAACTGGTCAGAACCTGCTCAATACCACCTCTGAGCTAGATGCATTAAACTGGGATTTACTCAAATTGAAATTGGAGGGACATACCTTGGAACAAATCCAATCAGAATTGGGCTTTATGAACTACAAATAGGACCTGCAACAAGAAATCCAAGTCTGGCGTTCAGTTCAAGTCAACCAACTCTTGCCTCTTCCTGTCCCTTTCTTTGCCAGTCACTAATCAGATTTATGCACTTTCTAAGCAGGTACAGTCATTCTCAAGATCCTATATATTTGTTTCTAACTATTGGTCATACTCTTGAAAATAGCTAGGTCATTAATATTGTGTTTTTATATGTTCCCCTATTTGTCAGAATGTACTAGGCTAGAAAGTGGGAGTCTGGAAGTTCACGTCCCTCCTTAGCTGTGGAAGCCAGTTGAGTGAACTTGGGCCAGTCATCCTCTCTTGGCCCATCCCATCTCACAGGGTTGTTGTTGTTGTGGGGAAAATAGGAGGAGGAAGATGTGTTGATATGTTTGCTGCCTTGAATTATTTCTAAAAATAAATACAAATAAATAAATGAAATAAAAATACTTTCAGACTATTGGTTGCATATTAATTTAATTTCCTTACAGCCATCTTCTTTTATTCCTTATGATGGGAAAAAAAGAAGGCAGTCATTTTTTATTTCTGAAAAATCCTTGGTAGGTAAACTATGTTAGACTATCTAATGTTATTTCTCTGAGTCAAGCTATGACATTGTATGGGAAATCTTACATATATCTATATCTTATATATCTTCAGGTTCTTTGCCATTTCTCCAGCTCTTGTAGGAGTATAGCTGTTTGTGTGCATGGGTATATGTGCAATGAAAGGAGAAGGTAATTGTATACTTTTTTTGACAATAATGTCAATCAGCAGTTTTATAACAGGCTAGACAAGTTTGTGTTATACCAATATTGATGGCAATTCACTACTATTGAATCATGAGCAATGTGTGTTAAATGGTTGTTGGTAACCCTAGTGGAAGAGATTTCACCTTCCATTCCAGCTTTGTGAGCTCTCAAATACATCTAGTTGAATATTGTGTGACCCAGAATACTCTCAAAAGTGCTTTTTCAAGAGGCAACTGGACTTTCTTGTTTTTCTTTGAAGACATTTCACTTCTCATCCAAGATAAGAAACAAAACATCTTCAAAGAAGAACCAAAAAGTCCAGCTGCCTCTTGAAAAAGCATCTTTGGGACAACCATGACCTGGATGACTGAGAATCTCCAGAGACAGACTCATAATACTGCATTAGATGGGCCTGTTTCATGACTCATTGGATCTCTTGTTATGCTTTATGTTCTAAAGATCAGTGTCTGGCGGTTCTGACCATACACCCAGAAAAATACAGATTTCAAACAACTCCCCAAGGTTACTAATATTATCAGAGCACTGATCTGTGAAAATATACTATTGCAGAATATTTACCCATAATATAATTTCCACCAGTCAGTTCACCTTTTAGCACCTTTTGAGTTTGAAAAAACATATATATGAGATTCAGCAGTGTGTCCTACCTGTTCCACTACTGGTTCGGTGATCACACGCATGTGCACACACACCTAACGTGTGCACAGAGCTTTTCCCACGCCAGCTGAGGCCTGCAGTGCCAATCAGCTGAAAGGATAAAGAAGAGAAAAGTGTAGGGGCAGGTGGGAGGGCCGATCCTGTGCTTTTCTCTTCTTTATCCTCTCAGCTGATTGTCCTTTTTTTTTTACTACTGATTCAGCCGAACCGGTAGCATATCACCACTGATGAGATTGTTTGTATCTCTTCCCATCTCAAATTACTTACTGTCTTCACTTGAATATCCAGTTAGTGTATTAGGTTCAGGGCCAGAGCCATACTTGTTAACTGCCTGGACTTTGATATCATAAGGCACAAAAGTAGGGGTGTTCTGCAATACTAGGAAATGCTTTTGCACTGTTTCTTCTTCCCATTCATTGGTATCCTGCTGTTTCCAGTTCACTTTGTATTCCAGACCCGGTCCATTATGCTCCATGGGCTTTAGTGGCTGCAAATGAAGTAAAAATTAGAACAATTTGCCTCCAGAAGTTGTGGGTGCTCCAACCCTGGCGGGTTTTATAGGTATAGGTATAGGATTTTCTGATTGAGTAGGAAGTTGTATTAGAAGACTTCCAAAGCCCCTTCCAACTCTGTCATTCTGTTAAGATGAATCAGATGTTGCAAAACCAACACTACCTAGAGTACAATCCTTCAAGGAAGAAACCTTAACTTATATCACAAAACTCACTGTAAATAAGTTATCTGCAGGGCAGTTAATTATGTCAAAATAGATGGGAGATGAGTAAATGAAATCCCATCTTTTTAAATGCACATATTCAAAAAGCAATTATATATATATATTTCTACATATCAAAGAATGAAATGTAATTAACTTCTTACTTTCCTAAATTCTTCCAAAAGTGAAATTGGAAAAGGGATACTGTAATGAGGCAAATGTATTTATTTATCTATATGCTGTCCATCTCGCTATCCAAACCTATTAGTGTTTGTTTGCCTTACTCAGTAAATGGCAAAGTACAATTATGATTTTATTATTGTTATTTAATATAGTGGACTCTTGGTGATTTATAAAATATAATACTAATTTAAATAATGAAAAATATAAAGAACATGAAACAAGACAGCAGCCATATAAATAAAGCATGCCAGCCTCTCCCCCACCAACACAATAACCCTAGGCCTGAGACAAAATGAAGGCTTTTACAGACTCGTTGGAACTTTGTATGAATAACCAGCATTGTAACTTCAATCAGGAAACTCAGGAAAATACCAAACTAAGAGAATAAATGCAAAATAGTTAACCTGCTTTTGCAATTCACAGGCTAGAAGGCATGTACTTGGCTGGCAGGACAGTTGAAGAATCATACTAATGAGGCACACAGCACTATATTATGAGTTTTCTTTCTAAATTTTCAGCCTGGAATTGTTATATTTAATGAGGTATACTGTAAAATTATTATTGGGGGAAGAGAAAATCCAAAGTAGCATTCTTTTCACTTATTCTTAGTGACTTCCAGATAATTTTAAGAAAAAAATTTATAATTTTTGGCCAGAAAATAATAACAAAGAAAAGGCAAGGTAGAATTTTAGCATGAATTTTAAAATGTGACAATTTCCTATTTTACCCTCACTACACTATCAAAGAATTTTCTTTAATCATGATTTATATATTGTCAATTGCTACCCCATTGTGCACACTAGAGCTTATTCAAAAGTTGTGTGACATAACATAACAAATGGGTCCATAATGTTTATATAAAGTTTTTACCTCCCACGTCATGTTCATTTCATGTGGTTTGGAAACTTCAATTCTGATGTTTTCTGGGTTCTTGTCTGGAGCTGCATTGGAAGAATAATTCAATTAAGCAATTCTTACTTAATCTCCCTATTACAAATATATCCAAGAGCAGTGCAACATTTAATATGATTCTGTCAAAATGAAGATTTTTTTTAAAACAAACCAGACAATATCATACATAATGTTCAGCTATATATTCTTGTTTTATTTATTGTCTTTATGATGTATCATAATTGATTTGACAATTCCAATAACAACTAATCTTGAATACTTCCCTCATCTTATAAATATATTTGTGATAAACAAGCATACCATGTTCAGAATTGGACAAGGCTAGGAGAAAAATTAAATTAATAACTAAAATTAATTGCCTTTAAAATACTGGCAGTTTTAAGAGAGGGAGGAAGGGAGGGAGGGGGAAAGAGAGAGATTCTTTCTTCAAGAAATCAGTTTGTAAATTACAATTCCCAAACCTTTAATCCAACAGTTATATTTTGAACTTTCTTTTTCTAAAGTAGGTACTTCTGCAAGTGAAGTACCTACATGTTTACTTGCCTACCTTCGTATGTATGTATGTATGTATGTATGTATGTATGTATGTAGAGAGAGAGGGGGGAAGGGAGAGGAAAAAGGAAAGGGAGAGGGAGGGAGGGAGGGAGGGAGGGAGTTCTCAACGAAAAAGAAACTCCTTTGGTCTTTTTAGCTGCCTGGAAAAGGGAGTGGGGGAAAATAGTGCATTCCTTAAGTGCCTAGATAATCACCCTGGCAGCCCAAAGTTGTCAGAGTGCAAGAAAATTATTGGAGAGCATGATTGATGACTCTTGGTGATGGATGTATCGCATTAGAGAATACATATCCAGGGAGTGGGGGGAAGGCCAGGGTCAAGGGGGAAATGAATGATATATTTTAGCATCAGCTGCATCCAGCTAACACCAACATGTCCACTTCTAATAAATCAATTTTCTTTTCTCTGAGATGTGGCTAGAGATTTATGACTTGAATGGGGGGTGAATTTGTTGGAGTCCTGACGTGTGTGTGTGTGTGTGTGTGTGTGTGTGTGTGTGTATGTAGATAGATAGATAGATAGATAGATAGATAGATAGATAGATAGATAGA